GTCACCGCGTTGGGAACCACTGACCATGGGGATAGTCCTTAACATCCATATATAGAAGGACATGGGTTCATTGATGCCAATGGAGCTATCATGAGTCTCAGCAGATTGTCACATGAGATGTAGTCATCTAGGAAAATTACTGGCTTTCGTTGCACTATAATCCAACACAACCTGTCTGATTTGCTTCAGCACGCAATTCTATTGCCGCGTTGGGAACCACTGACCATGGGGATAGTCCTTAACATCCATATATAGAAGGACATGGGTTCATTGATGCCAATGGAGCTATCATGAGTCTCAGCAGATTGTCACATGAGATGTAGTCATCTAGGAAAATTACTGGCTTTCGTTGCACTATAATCCAACACAACCTGTCTGATTTGCTTCAGCACGCAATTCTATTGCCCTCAAATTTTAGTGACTTAAACCATTTACTCAGAAGCCAGTTGAAATTACTTCATTTAATAGAAAAACTGTCAACTGCAGCTTTGCATTTTATTGGGTTTTTTAGTGTCTCCACCCAACTTTCGACTGACATGCTCTAATGATTCAGTTTAGCCTACTTGATGTAGAACAGTCTGGTGGTAATCAATATTGAGGGGATTCCATTAAAATCTAGGGAGACCAGACATTATAGTAAGAAGAGAAATTTAGATGATGCAAACTAGGGATGTAAAATCCCGTTTGATTATTTAACCAGCTTAATATTTGGTTTAACCAACTAACTGATTAAACAGGGGCGGGCGGGGGCTGCTCTGGCCAGGCTGGGCTTGCTGGTTAATCTTGCCCACTGATTAACTGTAATCGGTAAGCATCACCTGGTAAGCATGATGGTTACTGGTTAAATATTCACATCCCTGATGCAAACCTTAACTATACAAGATGAGTCAAACTTTCTGAGAGATTCTGAAATGGACTTTCACATACCTGCATTTGTAGAAGTATATTTTGTGGGACTTCTGTGAAAGGTGTACTGGAAATGTGGTATTTAAATTGGATTTTTAAATTAAATAAAGGCTTATTTAAAAAACTGTTTAAATTTAAAATTGAGCTGTTAAGATATAAATTTAAATTTTATAAATTTTAAATTAAAGACAAGAAATAATATTTAAGAATAAGCTTGAAGGATATAGTATCAACAATAAGTTGAATTAACTGTGGTAAACTTATCCTTTGTTTAATAGCTCAACCAGTTTGAAATGTAAAACATGCATTGATTAACTTTTTTTACATATCCAGTATACTTACTTATTTAATAAAACCAGTTAATGCTGTCTTGGGGCATTTCAATTGATTTTGCAAATAGTTTGAATAAAAATTATTACCATGTGGTAAATAAGCAATTGCTCATACAACATTTTTCTAAAATGCAAAACTCAAAAATAAGAGTCTGAATAAATGCAAGTTAAACTATGTAATTGTTTAAATGGGGGGGGAGGGTGGGTGGGTGTGTGTGTGTGTGTGTGTGTGTGTGTGAAATGTCCTGGAGAGAAAAATGTGATTAGCCAAAAGATGCATCAAATTTAGTGTTAAAGATGTATGTAAATGCAAAATCAGTATGTTTTAAATGTTTTCAACCAATAAGAATTACCTTTCTTTTGAAAAGTGACTAAAGTGCAAATGCGAATAATTAAATGATTCTTAATTAGGGCTTCTTGCTCTGTAGTTTGTCAATTAAAATGATCCTCACACCATTTTACATCATTATGATTTTAAACCAGTGCATTCTACTTTTCCTTTCCTGATAATTTGGATCTATTTCATATATCTATCAGAATTTTTGCCCAAATGTTCCGTGCAAAGGAATCACTGTAGACTGAGTAAACAAATGTTTTACCTGCTTACATAACTAACTTTTATTGTAAAAGCCTGAAATCAACGTAACTTTGATTTGATGAGGAACTAGTTTTTTGTTAATCATAAGGAAAAATAGACCAATCTGACCTTTTCTATGTATGCCAGAATGAAATTATTTAACAATGAATCAATCAGTTTAGGGATAATGCTTTCAGATGATGAGTCTCACACTTGCCACAAATTTAACACAGTCCATGTATATTTACAGGTAGCCAAAGCAGCCTTTCAACGAAACAATGATCCACTTGATGCTGCTATTTTTTACCTTGCAATGAAAAAGAAGGCTGTGATTTGGGGATTATACAGGTAGGAAACATATAACAAAATAACTTTTTATAAACACTAAGATTTTAAAATACTTGCTCTTAAGTAAAATTCCATATTGGCCAGTCCATTTTTATATTGCTATCTACATACACTACAGTAATCATCATGTGTTTTCTGAAGTCAGTATTTGTTTTTTACTTGATTTTATCACACATGTATTTTAGCCAAAAATGTTTAGACACACCTCAGTCTTGAAAAACATTGCCTCATTCATGTTCTTTTGTTCCTATAATTCATAATTAATTATTCAATTTCAATAGGTGTGTTCATAGTTGTTATATTGTGGTATCTAAAAACGTGCTTCAGATGAAAAGTTACGGTTAATCTTTAAAATGTACATGATATACATTTTAATCCAAATTTTATTTTAAAATTTGGCATTTGGGGCCTAAAGTGTGATAAACATTCTAAAACTGTACTTAGACATGTGCAGTGACAAACTTACATGTTGTTAGATTATATAGTAATCAAGATTTCCAAATGTGAATGACTAAAGTTTAGTCTTTTAAATCCATAGCAGCCTCATCCACAACTACATAATCCTGTGTCATTACTAAGCATCAGTCTGTGAGTACTGACCGTGGCCAGGGATTCTGATATGAAAATAGTGTCATCATATAAATAAAACTATACCATAATGCTTATGCACAATGAGACTGAATTGAAATCACATGGTATCCTTAATTCTGTCACTTCCTAACTTTTGAGGGGTCAACCTCGCAACCCTGATCTTTTAATGTACGTTTTTGATATAATAGACTTTATTTTTTCAAATTTTCTTGGTTCAAGTGAACTTTTCCATATGAATTGTTCAAATTGATCAGACTGATTGAAAATGTCAGTAGCTTCCATTATTGCCTATCACTTTTTTAAAATGGCGATTCTGTTACAATGTTCCCAAACCATGACAAGAGCCTCATGTTTACCACTGAAAAAGTTATTGCACTTCATGTCACCTGAGGAATTGAATAATAGAGGCTTTCAAACAAATGACTGGTACTGTGTGAGGATATTTTTGGTAAGTACTATTTCAACAGAACAGTAAAGCTTCCAAAGCATGTTGTATTTCAGTGGTTGTCTTAACAATTGAAATATAACACTGTCTTCAAGAAATTCTGTTTCACTATTTCTTAACAAAAGCATGTCCTCATATAGCACTAGCATTTTTCTTTGAAAGCTACTGTTGTTGATTTCACAGTTTTCATCCTCAGTGGATATATTCTCTGTCGAATTGGAAAATGAGGCATAGACTCTGTTAAAAAGATGTCCTAAAAGTAACTTTGTGCACTAGTCTATAAACCTCCCCCCCCCCAATCCTAGTATGAAACAGTTCCAAAGGTGCATGAGAAGGTGCTTATTCTGTTGACATTTGGAAATTTAAAGACTGATATTTTTATTTATCTTAAAGACTCCTCGTTTCAATTTTAAAAAGATATAATTGTATTGGTACTTTATAGATAATAAAGACTTCAAAATGAAATGGTTTTGTGCACACACTTTTGGGCAGCTGTCTAGGTAAATCTTGAGTCAGATATCTAGAATTAATCTAATAAAATGTTAATCTTAAGTACGTTTTTTTTCCTTGTCTATCTTGTTTAAATTTGCAGGTCCCAAAAAGAAACTAAGATGACACAGTTCTTTGGAAACAATTTTACTGAAGACAGATGGCGTAAAGCAGCATTAAAGAACGCATTTTCTTTATTAGGCAAACAGCGCTTCGAACATTCTGCAGCATTTTTCTTGTTGGCTGGTCACTTGAAGGATGCAGTTGAGGTAATAAAATAGATTTTGCTATTGCTTTAAGTAGTCATGATTTCATGGTTTTAGTCAATTTTTGTCAAGTTTACACAGATATTCTTAAATAGGTTTACAGTGCATCTGATACTTTATCATCTGGAATGACACAAGTTGGAAAATATCTCTCTTGTGATTACTACAACTTTGAATCATTATTGAAAAGCTTCTGAGAGATGTTCCCCACTCTGGCACTCAGGGTACAGAAGATGAGGGCCCGCAAAAGAGCTTCAAAACCTTGCCTCTACAGGCACTAGTTACCAGTTATAGTCCATAGTGCTGCTATAGGCATTGCTTCAGAGCATAGAGATCCCATAGCAAGGGGGAAATGCCATCGGACTGAATAGTTAGCAGGGAAGTTAATGGACAATGAAGTTTATTGGTAAAGTTTGTTGAACAGTATGGTCAGCTTGACAAAGTGTTCTGTTCACATATCATTCGCAAGCTTAAGTTTCCTGTGAATCAAAGATAGTGTCATGTCATAGCAGCATTTGCAGAATTTTGACAGTATTGTATCAAGCAACAGTTTGTCCAGCCAGATGCATCATGCTGGAGGTTTGTGAGGAGTGAACACATGGAAGGTAAATTATAGGCAGTAACTCTAAATCCTGCATACATTGCTGGGTAATACATTGGTGGTATCAGTTGTTGACAATTGCTACCAAATTGTTTGCAGAATGGAGTAAAAATTGTCACTTTTGGTGAAACCCTATTTCAGCAGGCTCCTCTCACTTTAATTTTGCATACATTTTTGGTGGTGGCCTTTTAACCTATGAAGAAATGAAAACTTAATTTCTTTAAAATAACTGGTTGTTGTTTTTTTAATTAGGTTTGCCTTGAAAAATTGGGAGATATTCAGCTGGCTCTGGTAATATCAAGGCTTTATGAGTCAGAGTTTGAAGTATCTAGCACGTATAAATCCATACTGCAGAAGAGAATTTTGGGAGGTGCATATCTTGGTAAGGAGAGCTCATCAACTATGCATTGTGACCCTTTTCTACGAAGTATGGCTTTTTGGATTTTGGAAGATTATAGCAGGGCTCTTGACACTCTAATTAAGCAACCTGCTGGAAATGAAGGTAAGAGTCTACATATGGTTAGCTATGAAATCAGTTGTTAGTATTTTTGCATTTAAATTTAGTATACAGTTTAACTTCTCTTTTGACTTCAGTAGACTCCTTTAAAGCCAAAAATACCACTTGCAGCCTGTTCGGTTGCTTACCTAAGTTGGATGGGGGGGGAACCTTGGTGGTTTAGATAATTTGTAAAAATAGGTTTATAAATTGTTGACAACTATATACTGTGACCATAATATGCATGAATGGAAAAGGAATGAATTTATTCATGTTGCTATTTAACATTGTGAACATAGAATTATATAACCGGAAGGGACCTCCAAGATGTCATCAAGTCCAATCCCCTGCCCTCACCGCACCAAGCACTGTCTAGATCACGCCTGACAGGTTTCGGTGCAAACTGTTCTTAAATACCTTCAGCGATGGAGTTTCCACAACCCACCCTAGGCAATTTATTGTACTGTTTAACCACCCTAACAGCTAGGAAATTTTTCCTAATGTCCAACCTAAACCTCCCTTGCTGAAATTGAAGCCCATTGCTTCTTGTCCTATCCTCAGCGGCCAAGGAAAACAATTTTTCTCCCTGCTCCTTGTAACAAACACCCTTTTAGATACGTGAAAACAGCTATCATGTCCCCTCTCAGTCTTCTCTTTTCTAAACTAAACAAACCCAGTTCTTTGACTTCCCTCATACACCATGTTTTCTAGACCTTTATTAATTTTTGTTGCTCTTCTCTGGACCTTCTCCTATTTCTCCACATCTTTCTTGAAATGTGGTGCCCAGAACTGGACACACTACTCCAACTGAGGCCTAATTAGCTCAGAGTACATGGCAACTTGAATCAGTACAACTGGAATTAGTCGTGTACAAACCATTTTTAAATTTTAAAGAAGCACCAAAGTTTTGTTCTTCGGTTATTTTTTTTTATAACAGCAGTTGTAAAATAACAATATAAAACGTAACTGCCACTTCATCCTGACGCAAGCTCTGTCTTTCTGATCGCGACAGAGAAAAGCTCCAGAAACATGAGTATGATCCTTACATTGTAGTATAGTCATGACTTCTCAGGAAATGTCTGTCACAAGGACATGTAAATTAGGAAACGGTTGTGATAGCCTTGCATGGACTGCTCTGAGTGCCCCATGTAAACTGTGATAACCAGGGGGACCCACAGGGGTTCTGGCAAGACTTGGTCAGGTGGGGAGTGGCTCAGCGCTTTCGGGAGGAAGAGGACATCAGGCAGAAAGGGCAGGGTCCAGAACATGCTGCATAGCACTCCGGCAGTGATTTAAATGGCCCAAGGCATCAGCAGCCTGGTATCCTGGGGTTATTATGAATCACCAGGCCCCATCAGTGGGCCTGGTGATAGCTTTCAGTGCTTTAAATCTGTTGAAACTAACTTCATACCTGTTAAAAGGCCACAAAAATTAAGTCCACTCTGAACAAGGTTAGACAACAGCCCATGTCACAAGGCTTTAGTCACAGAACAATGTCTTGATCCTGACAATGCTGTTAAGAGCACCTTTAGAACTAATTGATGAAAGCACTATGCTAATGATTGTTTCATCTCTCAACCTATTTCAGGCTGATAAAATTGTACCCCAAGTAGGGATGTGTAAAATCCTGTTAAATTTTCTGAATGCCCTATATAAACTTTGTGATAGCCAAGGGGCGTGACAGACTTGGTACTCTCTTGGCCCTGCACAGGGCTACCAGCAGGAGACTCGCTCTCAGGTGCTTTTACTTGGGAACCAGTCCTCCACCCTCCCTGATCAGGACCCAATGCCCACAGCTGTGCTGAGCAGCTTCTTATAACCAGGCCTGTCCCAGTAAACTTTCTTCTCATTGGCTCCTTCTGAGCACTTCCCTTTTGGACCAGGGCCCTGTGCAGACTCTCCACCCTGCTTTAATCCTTTCTAGTCAGAGTGGGGCAGCTGCCCCATTAGAAACATCTTGATTTAAGATGTGGGTTTTTTTAGTTGTCTTTCTTATAGACAGATGAAAAACTTCATCTACTTTTCTTTTTTTCATTTTAGATGTTAATGTGATCTTTGATAAAACATACTGTAAACTAGAGATTATAGTTTAACCTTGGTACACTGAGAATAAACATCTTGCGCACCTCAGACTGACAGTGGTCAGTAAAGGATGTTGTATACTCTTGATCATACAAAATTCGAGAATTCATAGTTCTAATTACTGCAGTTGAACTAATCTCATTGTAAGAAAATTTTAACATTCCCTCCAAACTATGTACACAGTTCTGCTTTCATTCTAGGCTGCACTTGAACAGCAGGCAAATTCTGGCTGCTCATAAGCTGTAGATAACATTCAATAAGAATTCTTCTTCTGTGCTGATTTTTCTCTTTCCTTTACAGATGAAAATGGTGCCTCCCCAAGTTGTGATCCTGCAGTGTTCAACTTTTATAATTATCTGAGGACACATCCTCTCCTGTTGAGACGTCATTTTGGCTCTTCTGAAACATCTTCAACACGGATTTGCCTAACTGTAGAAAATGGACTGTCAGACAAAATAAATTTAAGTGAAAGAAGATTGTTTTTCACTACAGCACATGCCCATTTGAAGGCTGGCTGCCCTATGTTGGCTCTAGAAGTGTTATCAAAGATGCCAAAAGTGGTCAAGAAGTCAAAGCCTTTTGGTATGAATTCTAGTTTCATGGACGTTAGTAAAGACTTTTCACCTTCTTCACCAATAAAGTTAGACACAAAGGAAGATAAAGCTTCCATTGTTGACTGGTCACAACCAGTACTAAATGGTTTGGGATCATCTTCCGATTGTTCATCAGACAAACAGTCCAGCTCTGCCCTTTCTTTTGATTGGAGCCAACCAAGTCTGATATTCCAAGATGAACCATTGGAGTTAAAATGGGACAGCGATAAAGACGAAGAAAGTGAAGATTCTCCTCTTGTAATGAAAGATCTGAAACCTTTGCAGAAGCTGACAATTGAAAAGCTAGATGAAACTAGTTCTAACTACTCAGAATCCTTCAGTGCAATGGATGAAAATAATGTTTTAAGTCCATCAGAAGATGTGATCTCAGCACAGTTGAAGTTTAGAGCATGCTTAAAGATTCTCACAGTAGAGCTTCGTACATTGTCCACTGGTTATGAAGTAGATGGTGGGAAACTGAGGTACCAGCTTTATCATTGGCTTGAAAGAGAAGTGATAGCTCTTCAAAAAACCTGTGATTACAGCGCTGAAATAGAGGAGGTACAACCGGGGATTAGCATGTCTGGTGAAATTGCTTTAAGTGATAACATCGAGGATTTATCTGACCAGCAAAAAGCCATGCTGCAGAGAGAGAATTTTCAGAGAAGACGACAATGGCTTCTAAAATATCAGTCACTCCTGAGGATGTTTCTTAGTTACTGTATACTTCATGGATCTCATGGTGGGGGTTTGGCATCTGTGAGAATGGAACTGATTTTGCTTTTACAAGAATCTCAGCAGGTATGTGCTTTCACACATGTTCCACAGGACATGTTAAATTCCATGTCTAAGAACATATATAATGTTGAACTTTTATCTCTTTCAAGGTTTAAAATTAAAAATGAATAACTGTGCTACTATCTGTTAATTTTCAGTAATTTTTCATATAAATTATGTAGGAATTCATGCTAATATAATTTACTCTTCCTGAATAATTATCCTATCCATTTGGATTAAAGTTCTAAACTAGTCAGTGTTTACCTACTTCTTGTAAGAAGTTAGAGCTGATCAAATAGTTGTTTTTTTTTTTTAAGGAACAGTCAATACAAACACTTCCAAGTCCTCTGCCAGAACAGAATTCTATACCTCTCCTATTTGCCTGCACAGCCAGTGCCAAAACAGTGGTGGCCAGTCCATTACTGCATCTCAGCAACCTGACTCATGATATATTACATACTGTAATAAACCTTGATTCACCACCTCACCCAGATATCCAGAATAATAAAGTAAGTATTTTATCATAGTAAGGTAGGCTGGTTCATTTTACATTTTATTCCATTTGCTTAAAGCTAGCTAGCAGATTCTTTGACAGCTTGGAAACATTTTAATATATTAACTAAAATTATAAATTAAATGAATGTAATGTATAAATATGTTTCTTGTGCTCTGCACCTTTTGTATCAAATCACTAAATGAAAAATTTCATTTTATTGATAGTGGGCAGTTACTCCTGTGAGGTGGTTGCCTCACTTCAGTGAAAATTATGTAGATCAGCACCTCTCAGGATTTGGCCTTACATGTCTGCAGAGTCATATGAATATTTGAAAGCTACATAATGTGCAGTTTCTGTCACTGATGCACTGTGTTTTGAATGAATTAAGAGTTCCTAATATTTTAGCATAAAATCTTGTTTTATGTTAATTTACGTCTGTGGTTTTGCTTAAATAAAACTGATAATTTGAAAGTAATAACAAAAGGCTCTCTAAATACTGTTTAAAACTTATATAACATCTATCACATGAAGCAGTGTTATTTGTCAATTCATTTCTTTTTCTTCCAAGATTTCATTCTTTATTGTTTTTTAGTAAAAACTAAATGTACTTGCCAGTGACTGTCTAAGAAGCTTACAGGTATTGGACACCAAATCCCATTGACTTTCAATGGGAACTGGATACTTAAATCTCCAGGGAAACTTTGGCACATTCCAGCCTCATACCTTAAAATTATTATCCTATGGAATAATGTACCATTAGTTTATATAAAGGACAGTATTTGTGTAACTTAACTGGTTGTATCAAACCGTAAATAAAATGAACCCTCTTTTTTTCTTCTCCTGTCAGTGTCATTAATTTATTTTGATAAGGAATATAAAATATGAATATGCTATGACAAAAATGGGTTTGTTGAGTGTAATCCATAATAAATTATGTGCATGTGACTTAGAGTTGCAGTAAAATCAAAGAAACTAAATGTCACTGCAGTTCTTTAAATAAGAGCTCCAATCTGAAGCTGCATCAAGAGGCAGCATAGTAACAAGATTGATTGCAATTCTTTGTAGTTGATCATGCCGTGTGCTTAATTGTAATATGCTTTCCAAGCTGGTTAATTCTTCAAACTTGATTGTGTGTGTATATGCATGCTTCTAGTGCTTCCAGTACTTTACAAAACACCATAAATGGTAAAAATTAAACTATTATTGGGTTTTTTTAGTTAGAACTCAATTCTATAAACATTTCCCTGGAAGTATAATTTGCTCTTTTGTGTAGCACCATTGCCTTCAAAAATTATGTGTTTTCAGGATTGGACATAGTCTAATTCGCTGTGTGTTTCTCCCAGTCAGTATTGTGAATTTTCAATATTTAGCTAAATAGAATAGCTAAATTTGTTTTCTGAACTGTTAGAGAAATATCACCAGTTTCTATTTAAATGTATTACATTAAAAATTGCTGCTAGATACAATGTAGATACTAGTTGCCCTCTGGTTTGGCAAAGAGGGATACATAAATACAGTATCAGACTTCTGTTCGGTTTAGGTTTACAATTTTTATCACATTCATGGTGGCTTTGGCATACTGAAGTATTTTAATGAATGAGAGTTCTGCAAGTAATCTATATGACTGTTCAATTTGTAGTGTAATCTGTCCTGTAAATACTTTCTTCCAGATACATGTAATGCATACTTTAGCAGCATCATTGTCTGCCTGCATCTATCAGTGCCTTTGTGGAGGACCCAGCTACAGGTAAAGAACTATGAAAAGCAAACTTTGGAACATATCCAGGGCAATAGTTCACTATACTAAGTGATGGGGCAACGAAATGGCAAATGAAATTTAATGTAGATAAATGTAAAGTAAGGCACATTGGAAAAAATAACCCCAACTATATATACAATATGATGGGGTCTAATTTAGCTACAACTAATCAGGAAAGAGATCTTGAAGTCATTGGGGATACTTCTCTGAAGACGTCCACGCATTGTGCAGTGGCAGTCAAAAAAGCAAACCGAATGTTAGGAATCATTAAAAAAGGGATGGAGAATATCTTATTGCCCTTATATAACTCCATGTTATACCCACATCTTCAATACTGTGTACAGATGTGGTCTCCTCATCTCAAAAAAAGATATGCTGGAATTAGAAAAGGTTCAGAGAAGGGCAACTAAAATTATTAGGGATTTGGAGCGTGTCCCATATAAGGAGAGATTAAAGGAACTAGGACTTTTCATCTTGGAAAAGAGGACACTAAGGGAGGATATGGTAGAGGTATATAAAATCATGAGTGGTGTGGAGAAAGTGAATAAGGAAAAGTTATTGACTTGTTCCCATAATATAAGAACTAGGGACCACCAAATGAAATTAATGGGCAGCAGGTTTAAAACAAATAAAAGGAAATTCTTCTTCACACAGCGCATAGTCAACCTGTGGAACTCCTTGCCCAAGGAGGTTGTGAAGGCTAGGACTATAACAGGGTTTAAAAGAGAACTAGATAAATTCATGGAGGTTAAGTCCATTAATGGCTATTAGCCAGGATGGGTAAGGAATGGTGTCCCTAGACTCTGTTATAGGGTAGAGATGAATGGCAGGAGAGAGATCGCTTGATTCACCTGTTTGGTTTACTCCCTCTGGGGCATCTGGCATTGGCCACTGTCAGCAGACAGGATACTGGACTGGATGGACTTTCTCATGTTCTATAGTAACAGTTTATTAGAGACAGTGCTACCTGACAACTGTATAGCTCTGCCACATTGTGAGGACTGTCGATTAGCCAATTGTGAACAGAATTGCAGTGTTTTATATAAACCTAGCTTGCTATTTCCTTTCCACAGTTCATTACAAGCAAACCAGTTCACTGGAACAGTATACCAGACGCTGCTGCTTACCCAGCGACCTACTCTAAGAACAACAAGTTTAGATGAAACTGTAACTCCCAATACATCTCCAACTCAGTGGCCAGGTACCTAGCAATTGATTCCACCACCCCACCCTGTCCTCCCACTTTGATCCTTTTACTTAGAGGCATTTTAACTACATTTAAGTAAAAGGATTCATATATTTGATAACATGTATCTTTGATTATAAAACAGATAGTATTTACCTCTATTGTTTTTATATTTTTAGGAATAACAGCTCTAATTCGTCTTTTGAATTCTGCTGGTGAGGAAGCCCAGCCAGGACTCACAGTTTTACTCTGTGAAATTCTAACAGCAGTCTATCTTAGTCTCTTCATCCATGGTCTGGCCACGCATTCCAGCAGTGAATTATATAGGATTATGACCCATCCTTTTAACGACAAAATGTGGTCTGCTATCTTTGGCGGAGGAGCTCATATTCCTAGGAAAGGACAGATGCAACAGAGAACAAAAACTGGTTAGCTTACATTTTTTTTTTAACCTCACTCTTAGTTTTAAAAAGCATCTGAAATAAAACTTCTTGATTACCACACAAAATATGTTGCACTGACTAGTAATTCATTGTGTACATTTCTCTAGTTCATACTCAAAGGAATATAGTTGTTTTGTGAAAAGGATGTCTAAGGGGGAATGCAAGGTAATAAAATGCACTTTGGTGATTTTTTTTTTTTAACAATACAAAAACAAATTTAAGGTTAATTTTTTTTGTACTGCTGCTTTTTCAGTTATGCCGAAGTGTAGAAAATAGTTCATCAGAGCTCAGCTTTTGACTCTTTCATAACACTTTAGCCATATCTATATTCCTTTACTGCAAGTATAGTATATGTTTTCTCTCTTTGGCAGGAAGGCATTTCTCTATGCCTAGCCCACATGAGGTAGTAGTGTTCTCCATGGAATGCGTGGGGTTTTCCAAATCCCTTGCTGCCATCAATACTCATAGTCCTACCAAACATGAAGGCAAGATATTAGCTTTAGTATTTTGATCGCTAAAGCCAGTTTGCATATGTAGAAATAAAACCAGTAAAGAAAAATTTCTGATCCCAAGCCATGAGCTTGAATTTAAAAACAGATAAAGTATTTTTTTCATCTGCAATTGGATACATTTTCCCAAATTTGACACATTTCTAGCATTTTTGCTATGCTTTAATTTAAACATATTTTAAATATAAAAATAGCAAATTGCTCAGACCATGGTTTGGAATCATCAGAAGTGTTTCAAATCTTGTTTATGGAGGCTGTTTATTTTGCATCAAGTTGATATATGGCTTATGATAACTGTGGATTTCTAAGTGTTCATCCATGACACGAAAAGTGATATTTTCTCACTTCTTGTAAACTATAAAATATTGAATAGCCATAGAGACCTGAAACTAGAGAGTTCATTCTTTTATTTAAATAAATTTTTCATTCGTGTTAATTGTTTGTTTATATGTACAAAGCTGTGGGTAATTTTAAACATGATATTCATATAAATTCCTTGATAGAAAGATTTTACATATATATATATA